CTTTTACTTGAGTATATTTTTTCAGTACTCTTTCCACCACTGGTTTCTCGTAATAATGACTTAGCCTAATCCACACACACACAAAAAAAGACTTACTCGACACATGCGCAACGCAAGAGATTTCTCATTATGAGAAAATAAGTCATTATTTTGAGAAAATAAGCCATTACTTCTAGAAACTTTCTCATAATAATGACTTATTTTCTCAAAATAATGACTTATTTTCTCATAATTATGAGAAACTTCCTCATAATAATGACTTATTTTCTCATAATAATGACTCAACATCTCATAATAATGAGAAACTTTCTCGAAATAATGACTTATTTGATCATAATAATGACTTATTTTCTCATAATAATGAGAAACTTTCTCGAAATAATGACTTACTCGACGCATGCGCAACGCAAGAGTGACAGCACGCTAGCGCCATCTGTTGGTCAAAGCCATGCAGGAACACTGCAAACATTGCATGTGATGCATGAAATGGACAGCTAATAAAACTAATAAATCATCGAAATACACATCTATAAATTAAGTTTATATGTGTAATGGCTTTCATTTCTTCATGAAATGCCTGGATTTCTTAACTGAAATATTGGTCTGGAATGTTTGCAGCCATAACTATCTGGCAGAGTAACTATTACACAAAAGACTACATACAGATAATTTATCTGAAATCGTTATTTAATGACAGACTGAAGCATGATACACTTTAGATTACAGAACAAAGCAATGTTAGCGGTGTTCCTGCATGGCTTTGACCAACAGATGGCGCTAGCGTGCTGTTACTCTTGCGTTGCGCATGCGCCGAGTAAGTCTTTTTTCTTTTTCTTTTTTTGTAGATTAGGCTAAGTCATTCTTACGAGAAACTAAGTAATTCTTAAGAGAAAGTTTCTCATTATTACGAGAAAGTTTCTCAATATAACGAGATACTAAGTCATAATTTTGAGAAAGTTTCTCATTATTACGAGAAAGTTTCTCAATATAACGAGATACTAAGTCATAATTTTGAGAAAGTTTCTCATTATTACGAGAAAGTTTCTCAATATAACGAGATACTAAGTCATAATTTTGAGAAAGTTTCTCATTATTACGAGAAAGTTTCTCAATATAACGAGATACTAAGTCATAATTTTGAGAAAGTTTCTCATTATTATGACTTACAAAATTATATTTTTTTATTCAGTGGCGGAAACGGGCTTCCATAAATTAAAGAGTTTATTGATAGATAAGTTTATATTTACAGTAAGCTCAAATGGACTTTAATCTTTCACATGTTTCTGCACAAAGACATGCTGATGATCACACTTAAACTATGGATATTGACAAATATTCAATCATTATAGGCATTAGTACCATTTATAGTGGGCTTTCTGTTTCATCATTTGTTTATCAGCAAAATATTTTACATTTAATTTAACCTCAAGTGACAACATTCTGTCTGATGTTTTGATTATAATTTAAGAAAAAATTGTTGGACGCAAACTATAAATAAATTATTGATTTGCAGAAGGCTAGAGGAGATGGAACGGTTCCAGGGAAGATGAGTGAACATATATACGAGAATGACAAACATGAAAATGTGTATGAGAATGTAAAACTTGAAGATTCAAGAAGGCCAAGGGCTCCTACTCCTCCTCAGGTGAGCAGTCCAGTCCAGTTCATCCCATTGTAGAGCATCATATGTGTGTTTTGGCTGCATCACAAAATAAGTGCTATTTATTCTTTTCTGTGACTTTGCGGTAAGACAGTAAGGAAGTCGTTTGGTTGGTTTAATTTATTACATGCTTGTGTATCATCTCCGTTCAGGTATCAAACCCTCCTCCTGTGCGCGGGTGAGGAAGTGAAAACACTGAAAAGCATCTACGGCAAGATGATCTATCAGGCTGTATAATTATTATTATTTATTTTTTTTACAATTTAAAGATAAATAAATTGTATATGGCCTATTACTGAAATATTATAAACTGTTGCATCAACTGAGAACTGTTTGTTCTATGTGCTCCACTCATGCAGTTTAATTATAAACTTGTGTTTCACAATGGACAAAGGTATTTTTTCCTTACATATTTCCTTACAAAGTCACAAATACAGAAGTATATTTCTGTAACAGTAAAAGATTAGGGTCAAAGCCATTACCGTATACACTGAGTTATAAAAGCGAAATGTCTGTTAATGACGTGAAAACATGACATACAAGTACTAATAACATAGAATCATATCTGCAGATTGTAATGATCATTTGCAGGCTCACATGGAATCTGCACACACAGAACTCAGTAGAAAGCAGATTGAACACCAGTTCTTTAAGTCCTACACATTTTGACATCTTGTCTGTGCTCATTTATTCATTATTTTTGACTAGTGTTTTTACATTTAAATATTAATTATATTTATGTTTATTTATAATGCATAAATTACTCAGGCTTAGCTATACTATTGACCCCATGCATGAAACAGCTTCTCAGAAATCATCAGACACATCCTCATTCTTTCTTTCCTGCACTGGGCCAATACAAGAAGATAAAACTGATAGTGGATAATGAAAGACAAAGGCCACATTCATGAATGAAATCACCTTTAGACCTGAACACAACTTTACTCAGGCAAAAGACATAAGGAAGTGACATTTTATTCTGGTCGTCAAGGGCGGACAGGGACACAATTTCAGGCCGGAAAATCTTGCACTCATTTAAGCCATCCTATACACCCACAGCAAATTCTGAAACCACAGACAACAATGAGTATAGGCCTACTTGTTTTTATTATAGCCTGTCATAATTAATACATACAAACACCTAAAAATTAAACATTTACCTTTAAAAAGAAGGTAATCCAGTCCACTATTATCGCTTGGATTACAGCGTCACATAGAGATATATCACTTATATTATTGCACTGATTGGCTAATTACTGTGATTAGACAGACCCCGGGTCCCAATGTTCATACTATCCATATTTTATTAGGCTATAAATTTGTTACAGCTCCCCCTTAAAGCTCTTGTCTTTAGATCACCTTCCAGAAGAAAAAACAAAAACAAAGCCATTTGCAATCCATATAAAGCACCTGCCACATTGAAGTCAAGTATGTTAAGATATCAAGTAGTGCACACAGTAGAAAGCATATTTAACACCTGTTCTTTATAGAATTCCCACCATCTGTGTTAATTTATTCAATATTTTGGCTTGATTATGCTTTCTTATGAATAAGAGTAGTTCAGTCTTGTCTGCTTAACATACTTGACAATGATTACATTTATTCTATGGATTTTCTCCCAACACAAGTACAGAAAATACAAGTTTACAGTATTTCAGTTTAAAATTTCATTTTGATCTCTTCTGCAAATGTCTTTGTCAAATGATGTTTTAAATGTACTTACAGACATTAGAAGACACATCCTCATTCTTTCTTCCTTGTACTGGACAAATAAAATAAGTGATAGTGGTTAACGATAAACAGGTTACGTTCATGACTAAATTCACCTTTTGACCTGAGCTCAATGTTACTAATGAAAATTAAATAAATGGCTATATTTATTTATTAAAATAAATAAATAGTTTTAATAATCACATTTTTGTGTCCATTATTTATATGGAAGTTATATGATCTATGTCACTGAACTGTGTAGATAAACACACACGAAGACGAGATGAAGACAAGCAGTCTTTAATAAATCCACAGATGGGTAAATCCAAACAAGGGAAGACTGGCCATACACGTAACATTGACGAGACCCGACAACCTCAAACTGAACAGACAGGAACTTAAATACACAGACCTAATGAGGATAATAACAAGACACACCTGAACATAATAACATGGTCAAATCAATAACCATGACAACCACTAAAAATACAACAAATTTGTATTTGTTGATTTTGATTGCTTCCATTGTCCTCATTTGTCGCTTTGGATAACAGTGTCTGCTAAATGACTGCATGTTTCTGTGTGTTGTTTCAGAGTAGTGGAACACTGAGCCCGCACTGAGCCAGAAATCTCCACTTTAGTAGCACTTACATACACCAAACTTTCCACTTTTATTCCTATCCTATCCTAACTCAGGGTTTTGTTCTGGTGAATTCGTGGTGGTCAGTTTTCAGGTTGTAATTACGAGTTCTACAAGGACACATTGGAATCTCATAATTACAGGCGGAAACGGTGAAAACACAAAGAAAGTCCATGTGGTTGTGACAATCTGATTGTCTAATTATATCCTTCATGATCTTTTTCCAAAAAGGTGATATAACTACAGTTCTCTTATTTTTAATGTATGTATTACATTTCTTAGTTAAACTTTAACATCATGGACATGGCTCAATATAAAATATCATCAAGTCTATTATATTTTTTAAAATAGGTTAAGGCCTGGTGCTTAAGTAAAATCATTTTATTGACCCTGTTTTGAAGTGTTTTGTCTGTGAAATTAATTTGATTTGCTACTCACATTTAATTGTTAATGATTACCTTTATATCAACCCCTTTCCTAACTCTGCCCCATTGCATTGTAAGAATTTTAAGCAAACTGAGGCTTGTTATAGCATTTGCATATCATTGCTCTCTTGTTGATTTTGATTGCTTCCATTGTCCTCATTTGTCGCTTTGGATAACAGTGTCTGCTAAATGACTGCATGTTTCTGTGTGTTGTTTCAGAGTAGTGGAACACTGAGCCCGCACTGAGCCAGAAATCTCCACTTTAGTAGCACTTACATACACCAAACTTTCCACTTTTATTCCTATCCTATCCTAACTCAGGGTTTTGTTCTGGTGAATTCGTGGTGGTCAGTTTTCAGGTTGTAATTACGAGTTCTACAAGGACACATTGGAATCTCATAATTACAGTAAGGCATGTCGTGGATGCACATTTGCTTATAGTCAGACCATCAGCATTACAACAATTCATAAAACAAGTTAATATTATAATTTAAAATATATATATTGCTAGGCACTGTTGGGCAGTAACGCATTACTTAACAACGCGTTACTGATTACTTTTTTAGCAACTGAGTAATTTAACGCGTTATCATTTTCAAAATCGTAATTAGAGTATAGTTACAAGCCGAGGTCTCTATACGTTACTGGCGCGTTACATTGCTGACAGAATGCAGTGTTTTATCATCTGAGACCTGCTCTCCCGCGAGCCCCGACGCAACAGAGTCCGGCGCGGGACAAGATGGGCGATTTGTGTGTGTGAGGGTTGCGGGAGAATAAAATGATTCACGGGACTTCCGCAAAATAGAAATATCTAAACATAAAATATCTAAAACAAATAAATTGTTATTCATCTATTGCACAAAAGCAAAATGAACTAATATAAAATATAAACGATTGACAGGTGCAAGCGAATGCAGACTTTCTATTTAGGCTATAACACGTGTTTGCAGCGTTGAGCAATGCAGTGCTGAACTGTGCGTGCTCACGAATCCTCTCATTATAACACACGAATTGTAGACATTATGAAAGATTCATTATGCATATATTTATTGTATTAACAGAGATTTGTGAGATTGCGATGAACTGAGATGTCTTTTAGAGATTAGCCTATAAATGCAGCTCTCTTTGCTGGCATTCTGCCATGCCAAACCATGCACGTAGCAGCCGCTTGCTTTAGTTAAAAATAACAGTGTTCTGTGAATGTTGATGCTTTAATAACAGATATTTATCGGTAGCGTGTATGCTGGGATTTCATAAATTTCATGGAGAAAAAAGTAACGTAATTTAACTAATTACTTTAGAAATAAAGTAATCAGAACAGCAACGTGATTACTTTAAAAAGAGTAATCAGTAATTTGATGACATTTTCAGAGTAACTTGCCCAACACTGTTGCTAGGTACTTTTGTCTATTTTCTATTTCACAATAATGATGAAAGGTCCTGTCCACTGGTGGCACTCCTGAATGAATCTTGTTGATCAAATCAGTCAATGATTCAATGACTCACTCATAAAGATAGTTTACTATTGACACCTACTGGCTTAACTATGTAAACTGAAAAAAGAATCAATACCCCACCACTAACACACAAACTCTATCTAGAATACTCAAACGCAGACAAATGGAGTGATACATTCAGGGAAAAGTCCCTGCAGTATTGGATCATATGTGCCAATCAAATTCGAGGACCAGGTTGGTGCCGAAATCGGACCCCTGTCAGATTATTGCTCCTTTTAGTCCCCAGAATGGTTGGGTTTAGGGGTAGAAGAGGTGGGTGAGAAAATAAAAAGGAAAAAGTATATAAATGACATAGCCTACTTATAATGCTTAATATGATCAGGCTAATGTACTATTACTAGGCCTTCTACTTACAATAACAGCAACAGTTTCTTTAGATGCCTTGGTCAGTTTAAATGAGTGGCATTTACTTACGTACCTTCTAACACTGTAAGAGTGGTTTGTCCTGTATGACTGCCGCTAGGGAAGGTTGTGTAATCACAGCTGTAAACTCCCTGATCACTCATCTTCACATCGTTGATGATGATGGAGGCCTCATAGATCCGGAGGAGAGCTCTTACTGAAGCTGACTCTGTCTTTCAGGAATGTGTCATGCAGAGAAAGACCATGGTCCATGCTAAAGACCATGATTTCACATTTACTGGACTCATTCTGCCACATCCACTGCATTTGTTGTATTTTGTCTTCTGTGTTTCCATGGATATATTGGCACAACAGAGTTGAGCAGAATCAGCTTTCCTGTCTAATATACATATTTCCTTATATACATAGTCTAATATAATAATAAAAAAATATATATATATAATTTTATGTTTATCCAACATTCTTAGCAAGTTCTTAGCAAATGTAAAAAAATAAAAGGGAAAAAAAGTCCATGTTCATGGATTCTTGAATTTATTGAGTAAATCAGTTCAGATCAATGGGAGGAGAGATATTCAGAGGAAATAATACAGGAAAAGAAAAATGATTGAAATCAATATCTTTTCACCATC